TAATTGATATGGCTTGTCCAGCGGATTGTAACATAGCAACCAAGGAATTTGAAAAACTATCAAAATACAAAGACCTGGAAATTGAAATAGAAAAAATGTGGAAATTGAAAACAAGAATAATACCAGTGGTAATAGGTGCACTTGGAATTATAAAAAATGGAACAAAACAACACATTGAAAGAATCCCTGGAAACCCCAGCTTAAGAGACATACAGAAAATTGTCTTATTAAGTACAGCACACACACTAAGGAGAACTTTGTCTATGTAACGCTAGCAACTTCATCGGAGAAAAAAAAAAAAAAAAAAAAAAAAAAATTAACATGAAATGTGGCCATAACAACACACCACGACCTGCCTTAGGTCTTTCCGCAGACTTGGTAGGTAGTGTGTCCATAGCAGAAATCGAATGATGATGATAATAATAATAATAATAATAATAATAATAATAAAGATAATAGATGATGATGAAATAATAATAATAAGAAAATAAAAATAATAATAATAATAAAATAATAACTGAGATTTTGAAATAATAAAAAAATAATAATAATAATAATAATAAAAATATATGATAATAATAATAGGATTTAATTTAGAAAAAAATATAATAATAATAAGAAGGAATTTTTTTTTAAGAATAATATTAATAATAATAAAAAATTAATAATAATATTTGAAGAAGAAATGATGGTGATACAGGATGAAGAATAAAAATGATTTTAATGAAAAAAAAGAAAAAAATAAGTTTGGGAATAAATAATAAAAATAATTTAATAAAAATATTAATAATATCAATTAATATTAATAAAATGTTAATAAGGAAGAAAAATAATAATAAATAAAAAATAAAAAAAAATAAAAAAAAAAATAAATAATAATAATAATAATAATAATAATAATAATAAAATAATAATAATAAAAAAAAAATAATATTAATTTAAAAAATGGATATTGAAAAAAATTTAAACATTCATGAGGATAAAAGAAATAAATAATAAAAGGATATTTAATAATTTAAATAATAATAAAAAATAATAATAAAAAATAATAATAATCTTTTTAAAAAAAATAAATTGAAAAGGATTGCATTAAAAATAGAAAATATTTTTTGAAAAAGATTTAAAACTAAAGGATTAAAAAAAAAGAAAAAATAATAATAATAATAATAATAATAATAATAATAATTTTTTAATAATAATGAATAATGGACTTAATGAAAAAAAAATATTTTATAGAAAAAGAAAATGAATAAATTTAAAATATAAAAATATATAAAGGAAAAGGAATAAAAAAAAATAATAATAATAATAATATTTTAATTTTTAAAATAATATAAATAATATATAAAATATATAAATAATAAAAATAAATATAAAATATATATTATGAATTTAATTTTAAAATAATAAAATAAAAATAATAATAAAATTTAATAAAATTAAAAAAAAATTTTAATAGATAATGATCAATTAAAAAAAAATGAAAAAAAAAAAAAATAGAATAAAAAATAAAGAAAAAAAAAAATTTAAAAATAATAATAATATTAAAAATTAATAATATTTAATTTTCTAAAAAAAAATAATAAAAAATTAAAAATAAGAAAAAGAAAAAAGTTAAAAAAATTAAAGATTCAAAAGAATAATAATAAAAATAATAATAATAAAAATAAAATAAAAATATGAATTAATAAAATAATTTTAATAAAGATTATGATAAAAAATAAAAATTAAATGAAATATAAATAATAAAAAAGAAAAAAAAAATATTTGAATATTAAAAATAAAAAAATCAAATTTTTAATTAAAAAAAAAAAAAAAGATGATAAATAAAAATAATAATAAAAAATTTAAAAAAAAAAAAAAATTTTAATAAAAAATAATAAAAAAATTAAATAAAAAAATAATAATACGATAATATAAATGAATAAATATAAAATTATATGAAATTTCGCCATAGATTAAAAAAAAAATGAAAAAATGAAATTTATAAAAAAAAAATGAGGAAAAAAAAAAATTTAAGAAAGATAAAAAAAAGAAATTCAAATAATAATAATTAAATTTATATTTAATAAAAAAGAAAGAAGAATAATAAAAAGAATGAAATTATTTTTATAAAAAATTAAAAACAAAAAAAAAATATTAATAATAAATTGATATCAAAAAAAAAAAATAAAAATATAAAATAATAAAAATAAAATAATAATAATAAATTAGAAGAAGAATAAAAATTTTATAATAATAAAAATATTAAAAAAATAAAAATTTTAAATATAATAAAAAAAAAAATTTTGGCAAAAATTTAACAATTTATTTAATAATAATAATAGAAATAAATAATATTTTAATAAAAAAAAAAATAAAAATTTATAATAAATAAAAAATCAAAAAATTTTAAGAAAATAAAAAATATAAAAATTTTTAGAAATTCAGAATAATAAATCATAATAAAATAATAATAATAATAATAATAAGAAATATTAATGGTAAAATATAAAAATTACAAAAATTCAATTTGAAAAAAAATAAATAAAAATAAAAGATCAATGAAAAAAATAAAATATCTTCAAAAAAAAAATAATAATTTTAATAATAATAATAATAATAATAAAATGAAATTTAATAATAAATAAAAAATGAATTTAAAAAATTGAATTAATAAAAACAAAAATTAAAAAAAATATTAAAAAACAATAATAAAAAAAAATAACTTTGAGATCTAAAAAAATTTCATGATTAAAATAATAATAAAAATAATATACATTTGAATTTATAATGAAAAGGATGGATTAAAATAAAAAAAAATATTATAATAAAGAATATATATTAAAAAAATAATAATAATAATAATAATAATAATAATAATAAAATAATAATAAAATGAAAATATTTGGAGAAATTTTTAATAAAAATAAAAAGAATGGAAAAATAATAATATTTTAAATAATAATAAAATCCAATAAAAAATAATTAAAATTTTTTAATTAATAATAATAAAAAATAATAAATAATAATTGAAATTTTTTAAAATAAATAAGAAATATAAAAATAATAAAAATGAAGAAAATTTTAAAAAAAGAAAAATGATTTAATAAAAATAATAATAATAATAATAAATAATAAAAAAATGAAAAATAAGAACAAATAGTTAATAGAAAAAAATCTTTTGAAGAAGAATTCAAGGAAAAAAAATTTTAAAAAAAAATATAAATAAAATAATAATAATAATAACATTTAATATTAATAATAATGGGAAAAAAACCCAATGGTGAATAGGATGGAAAAAAAAAAAAATAAGAGGTGGAAAATAATAAAAAGAATTTTAAAATTAAAAGATATTTAAAATTAAAAATAAATAATAATAATAATAATAATATGGATAATAATTTTATTAAAAATAATAATAAATTTTTGCTGAAAAATAAATAAAATATTAAAATAATAAATAAAATTAAAAATTAATAATAAAAAGAAAAAAAAAATAAAAAAATCATAATAATTTTTAATAATAATAATAATAATAATAAAAATAATAATAATGGGAAGAATAAAATGATGTCATGAAATGATAATTTGAATTTTTAAATGAAAAATTTGAAAATAAAGAAGAAATTTTAATAATAATAATAAATTAATTTTAATATAAAATGATAAATATTTTAATCTTTTTAATAATAATATTAAAAAATAATAATAATAAAATAATAATAAAAATGAAGAAAAAATAATTTAAAATATGAAAAAATGAAAAAAAATAAAAAATATAATAAAAATAAAATAATAATTTTAAAAAATAATTTAATAATAATATTAAAATAAAAAAAAATAAAATTATTAGATAAATTTTTTATATTTTGAAATTAAATAAAGGAAAAAAAAAATAAAAAAATAATTTTAAAAGATTTAAAAAATAAAAAAAAAAAAAAATAATATAAGAATAATTTATAAAAAAAAAAAATAAAAAAATAATAAGGAAAAGAAGAAAATAAAGATAAATTTTTAAATATTTTTTTAATTTTAAAATAATAATAATAAAAAAAAAAAAGAATGGTTTAATATTTTTTAAATTAATAATATGATGAATAGAATATATGAAATCTAAAATAAAATAAATAAGAAAATAAAAATTAATTTTAATAATAATAATAAAAAAATCAAATATTTAGGAATTAAAAGCGTGCAAAAAGACATAAAAAAAAATAAAAATTTTTTTTTTAAATAATAATAATAAAGGATTAAATAATAAAATTAAAAAATAAGATTTAAATAATATATTAAATAAAGAAAAATTTATATATTCAAAAGAATAAAAAAATAATATAAAAAATAAATAATATTAATAATAAGAAATAATAATAATAATTAATAAGAATGAAAAAAAAAAAATATAATGAAAAAAAAATAATGAAGAAATGAGGATAAAAGAAGAAAGAAAATAAGAGGAATAATAATAATAATATAATAATTTAATAATAATAATAATAATAAAAATAATAATAATAATAATAAGAATAGAAAAAGAATAAAGAAATAATAAAAAATAGATAATTTAAATTAATAATAATAATAATAAGAAGAAATGATGGTGAAAATAAAATAATAATGAAAAATAATAATAAATAATAATAAAAAAATTGAATATTTAATAATAATAATAATAAATATTGTGGAGGAAGAAATGATGGTGAATAGGATGGAGAAATAAAAACCCAAAAATGAGGATAAAGAAAAGGAAATAATAATAATAATAATAATAATAATAATAATAAAAATAATAAGGAATAAAAATAATAAGAATAGAAAAAAAAAAAAAAAAAGAAAAGAAAATAAAAATAAATAATAAAAATAAGAAGGAAAAGAAAAGAAGAAATAATAATAAAATAATTTAATAAAAAATAATAATAAAAATTTAATTTAAAAATTTTAATAATAATAAGAATAAAAAATGAAGAGACAATGAGGATAAAGATTTGGGAAAAAAGAAATAATAATAATAATAATAATTAATAATAATAAGATAATAATAAAAAAAGAATAATGATGGTGAATAGGAATGAAAAGTAAAAATTGAAGAAGATGAGGATAAAAAGAAGAATAAAAATAAGAGGGGAATAATAATAATAATAATAATAATAAAGAAGAATAATGAAAGAAGAAGAAGGATGGAGAAAGGAAAAATGAAAAAGAAAAGGATGAAAAGAAGAAGGAAAAGGAAGAAAAAGAATAAATAATAAAATAATAATAATAATGGGATGGAAGAAGATGAAATAGAAGGATGGAGAATAAAAAAGAAGAAAATGAAGATAAAGAAGATGGTTAAAAGAAGAAGGAAAAAAGAAATAATAATAAAATAATAATGGGAAGAAAAGACAATGAAAGATGATGAAAAAGAAGAAGAAAATGAAAAAGAAGAAAATTATAAAAATAATAATAATAATAATAATAATAATAATAATAATAATAATAATAATGGGAAGAAGAAGATGATGGTGAATAGGATGGAGAAGATGAAGAAAATGAAATTTTGATGAGGATGAAGAAGGAAAAGGCAGAGGGGAATAATAATAATATAATAATAATAATAATAATAATGGGAAGAAGAAGATGATGGTGAATAGGATGGAGAAGTAGAAAATGAAGAAGATGAGGATAAAGAAGAAGGAAAAGGCAGAGGGGAATAATAATAATAATAATAATAATAATAATAATAATAATGGGAAGAAGAAGATGATGGTGAATAGGATGGAGAAGTAGAAAATGAAGAAGATGAGGATAAAGAAGAAGAAAAAAAGGAGGGAAAATAATAATAATAATAATAATAATAATAATAATAATAATGGGAAGAAGAAGATGATGGTGAATAGGATGGAGAAGTAGAAAATGAAGAAGATGAGGATAAAGAAGAAGGAAAAGGAAAAAGAGGTGAATAATAATAATAATAATAATAATAATAATAATAATAATAATAATAATAATATTTGAAAAATCATGTTCATGGTATTGGGACCCACTGGATATAAAACTTTCGGCATGACAGAGTGGGCCAATATCTGCACTGGAAAACTGCAACTTCCGGGAAAGTGTTGAAAGAAATTGGTATGAACACCACCCAAACCCGGTTACGGAGATAGGACCTGTAACAATTTTATGGAACTACACAATACACACAGAAAAAACCAAAAAAAAAAAAAACAAATAAAAACAATGAAGGCAAATCGCTCAGACATCATTATTAGAGACTGCAAACAAAAGAATTGCCTCCTTATTGATGTGACATTTCCCGCAGAGTGTAATGTATCTTTGAAAATCTTCAAAAAGCTATCAAAATACAAGGACTTTGAAATCTAAATCTCAAAAATGAGACACATGGGAAATAGATTGGGGGCAATACTTACTCTAGACAATGTGCAAACACTTTGGAAAAGATGTTAATAAACACTGGTATGAACATTACCCAGTACCAGTTACAGAAATAGAATGCATCACAATTCTATGGGATTTTGCCATCTTTACAGACAGTGAGATTGAAACAAACAGGCTGGGTACAATTGTCAAAAACCGAAAAACAAAAACAAAAACAAAAAAAACTTACTACTAACTGATATGGCATGCTCAGTGGAATGTAACATAGCAGCCAAGAAATTTGAAAAACTATCGAAGTATAAAGACATGGAAATTGAAATTGAAAAAATGTCGAAACTGAAAACAAGTATAGTATCAGTCATAGTAGGTGCGCTTGGAATGATAAAAAAGGAACACAACAACACAATAAAAAATCCCTGGAAATCTTAAGAGAAATGCAAAAAAATAAAAATAATAAAGGAAGTACAGTCCACACACTAAGAAGAACTTTGTCCATGTAACGCTAGTGATGTTATGGAAGCTGGAAAAACAAATCATGAAATGTAGCCATAACATTATACCTATACGTGCCTTAGGTATTCCCGCAGTCTTGGTAGGTAGTGTGACTATAGCAGAAATCGAAATAGAATGAGGATAATAATGATAATAATAACAACAACTAGTTTTCTTCAGTATCTGACTATATTTCTGAGATGAGGTATTATGTACACTATTTACATTATTCGGACTATTGTCCTCATCTTTGTCGCCATATTTATTACAACGTTTCGGCCGTTGTACGCTCCGGCCTTCTTCAGTATCTGTCTCTATTTCTGAGATGAGGTATCATGTACACTATTTACATTATTCGGACTAATGTCCTCATCTTTGTAGCCATGTTTATCACAACGTTTCGTTCGTAGTACGGTCCGGCCTTCTTCAGGTGGCTGGAATGTCGAACTGAACCCTTTATTTCGTTCACTAGGGTAGACTGTTCTAGTTCCACGTGCCATGTCTAATGGATGTCAGTTATCTCCTGTTAATTCCCCTCTCAAAGTTTTCCAACGCTTTAACATTAACGCTAAAGATACCATGGACCGAACATGTGAGCAACGATGAGGTTTTGCAAACAAAGGGGAAACTTATACTTAGCATCAGAAAGAGACAGCAGAAATTTCTGAGACACGTAATGAGAAAGGAGGGCTTGGAAAATCTGATACTCACATGGTGGATAGAGGGAAAGAGAGACAAAGAAAAGTAACGGGAGACATACTTAGCTGGCTTAAGCAATTCGTTGACACTACAGGGTCTGGGAGAAGTAGAAAAAAGACAAAACTTATTGTGGGATAGGATGAAGTGGAGGGCTATGATTGGCTACGTCATGAAGGGACACGCCACTGAAAAGTCACCACAATACATTTTGGTTGGTTGGTTGGGTTTTATGTCATATCAAACACTGTAGGTCATTTAATGCTAAATTTAGTCATATATATATATATATATATATATATCTATATATATATATATATATTAAATATATTATATATATAGTACTAGAAAAAGTATAGTTGGCAACATTATTTTTTCAAAAACGTATAGCTGGCAACATTATTGTCATACCCAGGACGCGGATGTCGTTTATTGTCATACCCAGGACGCGGATGTAGTTTATCGCCATACCCAGGACGCGGATGTAGTTTATCGCCATACCCTGGACTCGGATGTAGTTTATCGCCATACCCAGGACGCGGGTGTAGTTTATCGCCATACCCAGGACGCGGATGTAGTTATCGTAGATTTGGTAATCAGAGAGCCGGGTTCGTTATATTCATTTACGCGCAGATACGTTTGGGAAATGTACGAATTGACCTCTTCTCCCCCAGCTGTGTGTTAATTAGTTGGACTTGTATCAGTAAATCATTATCTTCAAACTATTCTTATAATCTAAAATTATTTTTTGGCTTTAAATAATCTGCAAAAGGGTTGATACGCCATAAATCAAATCAAACTTCTTTAAATTTCTTCGTTTCTCGCACGCACCGTCTATGGTATTTTCAACACTCTGCAGTTTATTTTTATACACTTCACCCCGTAAAGCAGGAAAGCCACTAAGACACAAGGGGTTACATAAGCAAATAAAGAACCATTATTAGGGAGCGAGAACCAAAAGAAGAAGAAGAAGCAGGAAGAAAATACAGGATGGTCCGAAAGTCTTGTCACCCCTACATAATATAATTTTCCATTTCTTATGGCTGACATGACCTCCTATAGTTTCGAAGAGAGGTTGCTTGCAAGTGGGTGGACCATATCAGAATAACCATCAGTTGAAGGACGTCGTTCGAAGAGCCTTTGTAACAATCAACAAAGCACACCTTCGTAAAATATCCCACAGGACATGGCGCCGCATCATGGTGTGCCACGAAAATGATGGCGTTGATTACAGACCTTCTCGCTGTGTGACAGCGCTAATGAAAGTGAATATATTGAATCCACTACACGTGCTTTGCATTACTGTATTAATTGTTCTTCTATTGTCCTCATTGCGTTTTCGTAGCGGATGACAAATTTTGGGGACATTGCATTTATATTTTTGAAGATCAATGGTGCCTTAAGAAAGATCCACAGGAGTGAGATACTGGAAAAGAAACTGCTAGCATAGGAATTACGGATTTATCTAGCCAGTTGAACTGTAAATTGAGGAGATTTTATTGCTAATCTACTACTGCGATTAATTTCATAAGTTCTAGCTACCATAGTGATGCAGTAGGACACAGTGAACCAAATTTCTTAGCAGCTGACCTAGCAATAGATTCAATATAGTCATGCCATTTTCCAGCAGAGAATATTAGCCCGAGGAAGCGCAACGTCACTCTCCTGGAGGTTAGCATCAGCCGTGACTGGAGGCAGATACGAGTCTCTCAGATGATTAGTAGACAGCAGTTTTGTTTTAGGGCCGTTAAAATTAACAACTGTCTTTTTTTTTAATTCTTGATGAAATTATTCTGCTTTTACTTTCAGATGGCGGTTCGTCATTGCTTAGCATTCTTACATACATTTCGATTGGAATTTTATTTATCGATCACTTAATATTCCTATAAAGCTTCGAATTTCTGGTGGGACTTATTTACACAGCGAAGAAAGTTGAAATTTCGCACTTGTTTAAATTCAAGCAATGAAGCCGTTAACACTCCAAGCCACGGAAAACATTAGAAAAATAGAGATGGTAGTTAAACGAATAAGCCATGTGTTCTTTGTACTTATATTCTCATCCTGGCTTTATCAATAAACTAATTTGTACATTGAGAAGATGTACAATCGTGTCGGAAATGAAAAAAGATTTAGCAGCAACCAAAGACCCTACAATAAGGTTAAAGTAATAATCTATCCGAATCGAATTCAAAAACAAAAATGAGACATATAATTCTGTCACTCCAACACATCGGGGAATGGAGTAGCAAGATGCAGGGTTGAATGACGATAGAGCACGGGATCTAGTCACATTATTTAAGTATATGTAACAATCACATGACTTTGGCCAAGCTTAGAAATCGTCTACTGGTATAGAGGTCATAGAGCAGATTTATCACGGTTACTTGTGACTTCGTGCATCGACGTCTTTTGGTCAATTTCGTCTATCCAGTTTCTGTCAAAATTCTTGGGTCAATTCGCAGTATCGTAAAGACGTAAATAACCTTGTAAAACCGATGACAGAAATTTCTGAAGTTGATGAAAAATTTTAATTTTTCTTCTGCCTTTCTCCAACGGTTCACGAAGTTCTTTAAATTCTATTTTTTTTTCTTCCATTTTATTTCTATTTGTTTTCACCTAATCTTGTAATCACAAATTTGTAAAATTTTTTTTCTTTTTTCTTGTTACATTTTAATCCGCTTCCGTTTTTTTTTTTTCCCGGATAAATGTCAAAATTATAAGAAGCCAACTTACAAATTGAAATAATATAGATAAGACATATATATATATATATATATATATATATATATATATATATATATATATATATATATATATATATATATATAGAGAGAGAGAGAGATAGATAGATAGATAGATAGATAGATAGATAGATAGATAGATAGATAGAATTCAAACCCTAGCGACTGCTTCGCGTGAATGGGCGGGCGAGGCTGTGAGGATAACATAGAAATGTTTCATTAATGACTTCTTGGTTCTTGACAACGGCTTTTCCGCAAAATTTTGACCAAAAAGTGACAAGTACGTCCAACTTACATACAGATTACCAAACTTTTAAATGCCACAAGTGGTAGGAAGTTGGGAAGAGCCATAATCGCTAGAAATATCGCACTTAATGACAGTGATAAATGTAATATTAACCTCTTTCCTACAAACACTTAGCATTCGTTGTCCAAGTGCCCAGTACTATTTTCTTTAAAACAATTGTTTAAGAAAATAGGTTACTCAAGTCCAGTATCTGCTATTGGTCTGAGAGTTTTGGTCAAGATTATTCTTCTTTGAACATTGTAGACTGGCGCTACAGAATCACAAACAAAGAACTGTACCAAATTAGCGAAATCACATCACTTGAGGATTACCAATAGCGGCAACAATGAAAATGAATAGCACATATATTTCGAAGAGAAAATAATGAAAAAACCAAGGTGTAGACATTCCA